GTATACATTCGGTAAAACCAGTGGTCGATATGAATCTTTTAAACTCGATTGTTGTCAACACGATTACTTTTCCCCAAAGCGATGACAGCCTGAAGTTGATTATCTTCTGCAACTGATCATCAATATTTTTGCATTTTAGCCTCCCTCCATCCCGTTGGCGCTGTGCCTCCCTAAAAAATCCTGTTGAAGAGATCCAGCAGGAATTGTTGGGAGCGCGCCGGTGAGAGAGCACTAGCAATGAAATATCATCTTTTCACACAGCCTTGGCAAAAATCCTGTGACACGAAAAGCATAGTGTATACCTCGCACCTTCCTCCGGCTTCCCTCGCTCCCTCGTCCTCCTGCTCCTCGTCGCCCTGCTACGCTTCTTTCGCCTTCCTTTGCTCCATTCTCTTGAGCTGTTATCCTTAGTAGGATCATTCCTTTTATTCATACTCTCTCTATATAAGTACATATATGTGTGTGTGAGTACATATGTAAATATAAGTAGCGGAATTTATGGGCACAGTGAACATTTAACTGTTTTTTTTTTTTACCCCTTCAAACTCAACCCTCCACCAACAGCCTACGTGCACCAACAACGTGCTCCCTTCCCCTCCCCAGTCCCCACGCACCGTCATAGTGTCACATGACAACCTTTTTCCTGTAAAGGCATGAAAAAAATCAGGTTGTTTCTCCATAATAAAAATCGTGCACCAACATGTCCCATGACGCTACCCCTCCTCCTCCCTTTTCTCTGTCATCTCGCCGATCTCACGGCGAGAAGGTGACATATCGCTTTGAAAAGTTAAAAAAAAAAAAATGTATGTGTCATAGGAGAAGTCACCGCCATGGTATAAGTATTAGCGCGTCGAACTGCGGTTGATTAGGAAGGGCATCCAGTTGGGCATGGATGGCACTGCCAAATAATCTCTCAATAGTGAATTGAGAAAGGCCTGCCGTGGCGTGAATGGTTGTTGAAAAATATATGTGTGTATATATAATGTATGTATAGACATAAATGTATGTATAGTTATATATGTATGTATGTGAGTATAGACAAGCACGTGTGCATATATATATATATATACGCATATATACGCATATATATACATATATATATACATATGTATACATATATATATATGTATATATTTATACATATAATAGATATATAGTGTGTATGTGTGCGCACACACACACATATGTGTATGTGTGTATATATATATACATATATATATATATATATATATATATATATATTTATATATATATATATATATATATATATATATAGGCCCATATATATAAATATATACAGACATATATAAACATGAATAGATATATAAACATAAATAGATATATATAGAAACATATTTAGACATAATATATGGATATTTATGTAGGACACACACACACACACACACATACACACATACACACGCACGCACGCACGCACGCACACGCACACACACACACACACGGCAAACACACGTACGCACACACACGCACGCGTACGCACACACACACACACGTTCACATTGTATATATATGTACATGTATATAAGTGCATATATATTTATATATATTTATGTATATAATATATATGTATAGACATATGTATGTGTGTATGTATGTATATATTTGATGAAAACATAATACATGCTAATAAGATGGTGTATCATATATTTATATTTATAAATCCTGCCGCTTGAATATCAACAAAGCATGAAATATTAACATGTAATTCAAAATACATTAACAAAGTGATCGCGATAGCTCACTGGGGGATTTCAGTGCATTCCGTATCTTATCGGTGTGATATTGAAAAACAATAAATCATATGTTAAAATCGGTGTAAAGACAGACGACGAGTTATTCGTTAAAAATCGGTGTAATAATAAAACAATAAGTAATTCCTTAAACTCGGTGTAATAATGAGTCATTTATTTATTTATTGTGCACAGCTTTTGGACAGAAGAAAGGAGCCCCAACATGGAGGGAAGTGACACTGCTTGTAGGTAAAGACCATGTCACATTTATAGACTGTCCAGCTCTTATTTAAACAGTAATTGCAGTGATGTGAGGTTGTGTACCAGTCAATCAGTTGTGTCCAAGATAGCTTACAGTACATTGGTTTAAGTGACAGGGAAATAAATCACATTTACTAACATAATTGCTGGACACAAGATTCTGTATCAAACTAGGCTTATGTTAGTTTTATTAAGGCAGAACACTAGTTTGAAATTAATGATTACATTAATGCTAGTGTTATCATGCTAGCAACAAAATTATTCAGGTAATATAAACACTGATTACAGTGTCACACATCTAACTATATATCATGTTCATCTTATCACACATTAATTGCAATGCCACACTGATTATGTATTATATCAATATCTTATCGCAGTTTAAAAGGTACACGAAATTGATATTTAAAGATCTAATTCACAAGTAATTACATCATTATCTAAGTACAGTAGCAATTCTCTGAAACGAGTATTCATATATTTAACATCAAAATCATTAAAACTGGAACTAATCACAAAGACCCAAACAAATACACATTTCCCACATAAACACGCCATAATAGGCAAGTCAGACTTACAACTTCAACATTATCCGTGTTTAACTTGCATCTTCGGTGTTTCCTTCGTCAGATTTGTCTTGGTAAGCAGCTTTTGTGTATACCAAGAGGGCAAAAATGCACTGGCTGGTTCTGACAGCTTTGAGCAGTAGATATTATCCCTAGCCCGGCGTTCAAACATGTACACAGCCGTGGTGTCCTTTGCCACTTTCTGCTTCATGAAATTGATAAAACTCACCAAGAAGTTTATATAGACGTCGGGATCCCATTCATTCTGCAAAGGTTGGGAAACCGTCTGCTGTATTTATTTAGTTATTAATTAATTAATTTATTTATTTATTTATTTATTTTCATTTTTTTTATTATTTTTTTTACTCTCTCTCTCTCTTTCTACATGGTTGGTATTCGCAAGCAAACCTTTACAATTTAAGTTTTAAGACAACAGAGGAAACGAAAATTTAGGGATAATTTTTTATATACAAATATTGGAAAAAAAACTGAATTTAGTATTAAAAAACGTAATGATGAATAAATAGCAGCAAGAACAGGAATAATAATCATCAATATAGGTTAAAATGAACAAAGGGGACAGGAACTACCAGTAACAACGAAAACATAATAAAAAAGGAAAATAAACAAATATGCTCAAAAATAAAGAATAACGAGAAATGATCAGAAAAAAGAGAATTAAGCAAAGAATTAAATTCATGCCAAGAGGAAGTTGAGATTTAAAGGAAGGCAAAGAAGGACCTGGGGAAATGGCATCGCAGAATGAAGTCAAACCGACGTGCTTGCAGATGCAAAGAGAAAGGCTGAGGACAGAGATAGTTGGTGGCAACTGGTTGTCAACCTCCGGACCGGAGATGCTACTTGATAAATAAAATCCTATGACTGACTTCAAACATTATTGCAGATATTTTTCAGCATCGTAAAACCTTACCTCCGCCAGTGCAGGTAAATCCTCTGTCTTAAGGAGCTCCATGCTATGTACAACGCCATCACCTGTGCAATTTCCAACGATGATGCGCGGGATTCCGGTTAGCATGTTGTCCAGCCACCAGTCGCTTCAGTCTGAACCTGTTACATGGCGGATCAAAACGGCAAATGAACCAAAAATTATGAAGCTGAAACTACGATTATTAAATCTGCCCTATTTGTATATGAATAAATAGATTTAAAAAATAAGTAAATCATTTAATGAACTAGTCTATGAATAGATAAATGCATAAACTACATCAGCAAACAAATAGACTGATATATAGATATATAAAACAGAACTGCGAAGAGCTTCAAGTGGCAAGGTTTGATAGCAACAGAACAGAAGAAATTAGGAAGATATCTAATGGCAAGACAAGTGGCAAGGGAGAAATTCGTGTAGTAAGGAAGTAAGGAAGGCCTTGACTCAGTATTGGACAGCGAATGACTGACATTATGTATATAAATTGATAGATAAATGAAAAAAAAAGTGTGTCCGTATGCGTGAACATGGATATTTCACGCATAAAAAAGTAGGAAATAAGAGATACTTCTCCCTTCCCTCTCCCTCTTTCACCCTCCTCCTTCCTCTCTACTCTTATTTCCTTTCTAACTTCGCTCTTCAAAATCCTCCTTTAATTCACTCTTCCCTTCCCATTCTAAGCCCTCCATCTGCCCCCTCCCTTTCACCTTACCTTCTCCCTTCCCCCATCCTTTTTCCTCGACTTTCTCCCTTCCCCATCTCCCTTTTCTCTTTCTCTCTCTCCACTCCCGCCTCCTGCCTTTCTTCCTTACCGACCCTCGCGGATAGCATAAATTGCCGGTCTGAATAATTTAATGTAGTATACTTGCCTCGAGGAATGATAACAATAAGTAAAAACACTGATAATAAATTTGTAATGTGATGTATATACATCAATATATATACATGATATAATGTATATATACATATATAAATATATATACATGTATAATAAATATATATGTACACATATTTAATATATATGTTTAATATATATAAATATATATATAATATATAATATATACATATATATTCACATATATATGTATATATTCATATATGTATATTATATTTATATATATGCATACATACATGTGTATATATGTATATACGTATTTGCATGCATATATATAATATATATGTATATATAATGTATATACATACACATACACATATATATACATATGTATATACATACATACATACACTCACATATATAAGTATGTATGTACATACATGTATACACAAATACACACACACAAATACACACACACACACACATATACATATACATATATATATACACACACACACATATTTATGTATATATATACATTTACATATATATATGTTATATGTATAAATATGTATATGTGTGTGTGTGTATAATGTATATACATAGACACACACACACATATATATATATGCATATGTATATACATGCATACTTACACACATACATATATGTATGTGTATATATATGTATATACATTCACACACACACACACACACACATATTGTGAGCGAGAGACCACCGCAATCCACCAGATGTGAACGATACGAGAGATGGTCAATGAAATGAGTTTGAGCTTGTCTATTGTTGAAGATAGATATGAGACCCCCAAGAGACCCCCGTGTCCCAGGGGTCGAGGACGAGGTTGTGGAGCTGGAGCCTGGCCTGTCTGCCGTGTCTCTCTCCTAAGTCTGACGAACGTGTCCTTTTATGCGCCGGCTCCTTCCAGGTCGGTGCTTGCTGCTGCAGGGTGGAGTGACAAATTTATCCGGCCGTGACAAGGGGGGTAAGTCGCTTGGCTTGCTCGAGGGGGGAGATGTAGGTCATTTGGAAGGTCGTTGGGTAAACCAGGTTCAGGAGTGGAGGGTACGAAGTGGCTGCTTCGTGTTAAGTAAACTCAGGAGGACCGACTAGAAGGTGCAGTTTTTTCAACCAGGGACAGATGTGTTTATATCGTCTGCAGCGCTTGAAACACTGAAATACCGCATAGGAATACAGGTCCTGTTCGGTATCTACAGATGGTTCCTGATGATCCGATGGTCGCTAGGGTCGTCGCGTGACAGAGGAGCGGGTGTGGCGGAGGTTTCGCACATTCACATTTGCGAGGAGGGTTACATCGTCTTCAGAGGATGAAATATAAGTGTACCGGGCCAGCAAAAGGGCTAAGGAGGAGGATAGTAATGTATTTGTCAATCACCTTATTAAGTTGCCGAAAAAAATGAGAGCGTAAAAACAGTTTGACACAAGAAGGGTAACGTGTCAAGTAATGGTGTTAATGATGTGGATTTGTTAGGATTAGCGAGTTCAGTGGAGTGCTATCATATTGAAACTACTTGGACAAGAATTGCAAATCTTTGGGCTAAATAGGCAAGTATTTATACTTGAGCCGGACGATATACACACACATTCATAAAGGTAGTAGTAATGATACACTTACTAGTAGGGTACAGTAAGCAGGTGAAAATAATATTACAACGAAAATAGTAGCAGTAAATATGAATAACATACCGGGAGAAAACAGAACATATCAATTTATAGTTATTTGTTCTGGGAGAAAATAAAATGTAATGAACTGCAGTATGAGGAGAATAATAATAAATATTAGACAAAACACCAATAGCAGAAAATCTTAGTGTCTGACTAGGTTTGTTGTGTTGAAAAAAAAAACAATGGTTGATAGCGTGAAGTTATATAGTATAGAGTTAATAGTGTGTGTTCGTTGAGTGTCAAATCGCAATCGTCGTCAGAAGAGGAATTGGGCGTAAAGAGAGGCAGTTCGATAGGAGTAGCTTGTCGGCAGATAGCGTGGACCGACAACAGGCGTCAGCGAGGAGCGTGGTGATAGATGAATTAGTGTGGGCGTTGTGAACTTATTGATCATCGCTGCCATCACAATATGAACGACACGTCAGATGGTCTTGGGCGTTTCAATGAAAGGGGCCTTAGCTTGCTGGTTTATTGTTAAAGACAGATATGAGACCCCCAAGATACCCCATGTCCCCGTGGTCGAGGTTGTGGAGCTGCACCCTGTGTGATGTGGCCTGTCTGCCGTGTCTCTCTCCTCCGTCTGACGAACGTGTCCTTTCATGCGGCGGCTCCTTCAGATCAGATTTATTCGGCCGTGACAAGAGGGTGAGTGTAATCTATATAATATATATATTATATATATATCATATATATGTATATATATTGTGCTAATATGTATTACATATATATATATATATATATATAATTTTCCGTCCGTGAGATGGGAGTGTAATAAATATTATATATATATTACATATATATATTACATATATATATATATATATATATATATATATAGTGCATATATGTATTATATATATATATATCATGTACGTATTTATATTAATATGTTTTATATTTATGTATTCATATTAACATGTTTTATATTTATGTAATCATCATCATCATCATAAGGGGGCATACGCATGGCTGCGCTTTGCCGCGCCCAACCTTTGCCTCCATCTCCTGGGGTCCCTCCGAGCGAGCCTCCATGCAGCATTCCTTCCCACTCCCAGTACATCTTGGCAGATCTGATCGACTTGCTTCAGCCATGAGTTCCGTGGCCTTCCCCTTGGTCTTCTCCAGCCTGGGTCAACCCCCTCGGAGATGACCCTATGAGCCGGATCTTCCTCAGGGAAACGAGCCACATGTCCATAGAGCTGAAGTTGGCGCTCTCGTATCAGACTGGTAATAGGTCTTGAATCAGTCTCATGGAGTATCCTCTGATTGGACACATGGTCCCTCCAGGTATACCCCATGATTCTGCGAAGACACTTAGTACCGAAGGAGTTAAGACGGGCTTTCAGAGCACTGTTCAGTGTCCAGGTCTCACACCCGTAGAGCAAGACCGGGATCACCAGTGCTCTGAAGAGCCTGATCTTAGTTCTCCTAGTCAAATACCGACAGCGCCAAATACTCCTATTGAGTGAGTCCATAACGCCATAGGCCAGTCCGAGTCGTCGAGTGACTTCCCGGTCGGAACCTCCGTCGCTCTGCACTACACTACCAAGATAAGTGAAGCTATCCAAGACCTCAATGTTCTCGTTACAGGCATGCACAGACTGAGCATCGACATCCAAAAAGTCCCCAAATTCCTGAACCTGGATCTTGGTCCAGTTGACCGCGAGTCCCAATGGCTTTGCCTCCTCATGCAGCGCCTCGAGAGCTACTTCCAGGACCTCTAATGTCTCCGCTAGAATCACTGCATCATCGGCAAAGTCAAGGTCTGTGACCTTGA